TATAACTTAGCTTATAACTTCTCCTTTTTAAAGATCCAAGCGAAATACTGATAACTCGGTCAAAACGTTTTTCAGTTTACTAACAATTCTGATTATGATTTAGATTGTGGAGTTGTATTACTGTAGTTGATTGTGTGATTTATGATTTCTGTAAAAACATTAAAAAACAAATGAAAAATGTTGTCAAGACTTTAAAAATGTAGGTTTCTAAAAATGGCGTAATTTGAGTTACGACAACTAAAATCAACTAAAAGTTTTTTACTTAATATTCTTAAAATTTACTATACCTTTATGATGACAAAACAAAACGTAAGCAACTACATTTTCTACCTACCAAAGAAATCTCGGAACATTTTTTTGAATCTAATAATATAAGAAAGTATTGTATGTTATAAAGGATTTTTGCAGGTATGTCTTGTTTTTGTTATAAACTTATTTTTTTAACCATGAATGTATGCTATAATGACCTGAGCAAAATTTTTGAATGTACTAAGAAAAATTTTTTAGATTTCAAAAAGTGTTTTCACATTCACACATTAAAAAATTATAAACATTTACATAAAAAAAAAATTAAAAATAATTCCACCAACAATCTTGTATCTAAAAGTAAGATTATGGTTGGAATTATTTTTATCAACATATCAACATATCAACATATCAACATATGAAGATTGGTAAGTTGAAAGTTAAATAAAACGCTAATATTTTTTGGAAATAAATAACACGCTAACATATCTTGGAGATAAATAACATGCTAACGTTTCTTAACCTGTAAAGAATATAGTAGTACCAAATAAAATACAATGAAATAAACAAATATATAAGAAATATTTGAATGAAAGAAACGAATAACTAATGTTACAAGTACAGCATCTTAATTTATAAATTTTATAACATTCAGGGTAAAAAACTTTGCAACCATGTTTACTCGAATAAACAATTATAGCTTTTGTTCAAATAATAAATCTACTGCATCATAGATGCCTAAAAAAATTTTGCAAACCTAAAAACATTGATAAGGCAAAATTTTATTTTGAATCCTAATATTAAATTTCTCACTTTGGCCTTGTGTTTATCCATCTAATCATTTTTAAAGTGAATCAGTGGTTAATTTGTTTAAAATTTTTCTCAGTCTGAAAGCAATTTGAGTTTGCAGGCCTGAACCATACCTAAATTTGTCAATTTTGCTATACACAACGACAATTACATCTACATTTTTTTATTTTTACATTGAAAATTGCTATTTTATTATTTACTTAATAGCAATGGCAAAAACAGCTTACCATCCAATCATCTTGCAATATCAATCAAAAAAACAACCAATCATCTTTTCCATGCTTTATTACCATTATGCACACTTTAACAATTTGGAAAACTCCAACTAAAACTTTAGAAAAACTTAGTAAGTTATTCATTGTGTTTAGACACGATTGGTTTTCAAGGATATTGTCTAAATTTCAGACAAAAAGCTTGCTTTGCCTAATTTTTCTGAAAACTAAGCAAACCAAGCTTTCTAAAAATTGTACGGTTTATTGCGCTGAAATTTAGAAGACGGAATATTGTATATTTAGAAAACTGAATATTGTATATTTAGGTACAAACTTACTTAAACTCAAGTATTTTATATTTTTCAAGTTTTTTATATGTTCGTATTTTGATGTGAGAAATTTTCAAGTTGAATTCAGGATTTAATACCCAATTGTTAAGTTTTATAACAATAATATTTCTGCTGAAATTTAAGATGTAGTCTAAAATTATTCGTAAAGTTTTAAATTCATGGATGCCATTTATATTTCATAACTGTCACTTAAATTTTATTTAAATAATACCGTGGTATCATTTAAATAAAATTTAATAGAAAGTAAACACTAATTACAATTTACTAACTTCAAAGTTTCAAACAGTGGCGGGTTTTAGGAAGGGGGGCATAGGGTAGTAGTCCCCTCCCCCCTCCCTTGGGACTTTTTTTCAGAAATATTCTTTTGTAAATAACTCGACTAATAATAATAATATTAAATTAGCGTATTCATATTATCAGATTGTACGTATATGAACTTGATTTTTACACAAAAGTACAAAAAAAAAACAACTTATAAATGAAAACCGAACCTTTTTTTTTTTAAGACCATTTTAGCCCCCTCTTTGACGAGCGACAAAACCTTTTTATGTTATTTAGGTGCTCCCAGAAGTCCTCACGGTCTTATCACGCAGCACCGCGGGAGAGCATTTAACTAGAAGTTCACGCCTCCTTCCTTACCAATGTCGCTAATCGGGCTTAAGCCGGCGTCGAACCTCGGATCTCTGGGTTCTGAGTCATAACTCTAACCACTGCGCCCAGCTGCTGCCTGATTTCAAAATATACTCCAGAAATCTTTTCAATAAGTAACAAAATTCTTTGTACATTCTTAAACAGAAACATTGACTGAGATTTCATAAAAATACATTTTTAAAAACCACAAAGCATGGTCATATTTAAATCGACTGATGTATCATTATTAAAATGTGTATTTGTCAACGGACAACGCGTTTCAATGACTTCGTTTTCAATGACGACAAAAAATTGACTAATGTTGCTTGTATCACCAATGCAACAGTAATAAACTGTTTAAATTTACTGTTTTTAACGTTAAAAATAATTTTGTTCATTGAAGTTTTTTCATAAAACAATTAATATTATATTATATAGTGTATGCATTTTCACATTTTTAACCATTCAATTTTAACATAAACTACCGCATATCAAAAAAGATATATATATATATATATATATATATATATATATATATATATATATATATATATATATATATATATATATATATTATAACTAAAAATTTAGAGCTAATGTCCAAATAATACTCTTCAAGAAACAACGAAAAATCTATTTATATTTTTCAAGAGATTGCTACATCATGTCGAATATTATTTATTTTAGCATGATTGTTACCAAATTAGAAGATTGTAAAATTTATCAGCCTAGTGCCTGTCATGTGGCTCGCAAAACAACTCAAAAATATTTTTTATGTACATTTTAGTGTTGTAACTTCCCCACGATTTTTATGAGTAGTCTTGTTTTGCATTGTTTTATATGAATTTTAAGCTTTAAATTAAAGATAAATTATGCAACACTAATTTAAAAAACAAAAGTCGGAGATTTTCAGCGACGATTTTTATTTTACTTTCATTTTTTATATAACTTTTTATAAGACTTTACGAGGGAATATTTTTGATCTTTTTTGTTTTGTTTATTTGTGAAATTTAGCGTTGCGTATGGAACTTTCAATAATGTACTTTAAAACTTTCAATAATGTACAAATTGCATTAAAAGAATTCCACATTGTTGAAATAAATGTATGCTTATTCTTGGTACTTGCCATTTAAAACTTATAATTTTATCTGACTTAACTTAAGTTAAAGTGCTTAAAATAGGCTTTATAAATTTGTCTTAATTTATAAAAATGTCAATCTTAACTCATAAAACATATGAATAATAATAAAAGATAAGATTATAGATTTGATTATAAAGAATAATAGGTATTTCTTAGAAAGTTAGATTTATTAAGATCAAGAATAGATCATATACTACAGTAAACTCCCGAATTGGCACTTATTCGAAATTCCCGCCTATTCGAAGCAATTCTCATTCCTCGTAAATTTTCCATCACAAACTTTATTCGGTACAGGGTTTTCAGTTATTCGAAGTAAATTCTTATTCCCCTAGGAGGTTCGAATAACCGGGTGTTTACTGAATTCATAATTTAGGTAACTCGGAAGATTTTGAACCTTGAAAAAGTTTTTCTATTCAAATTGAAAAAATACGTGACAGTTGCGATTGTGAGGGAAGAAATCTATGTACTTGTTGGTTCATCTTGCAATAAAAAAACTAACAAACTATATTAGTAGTTAAACGACATCGCAAACTAATATTTCTGAATACTTATCATATGATATTTTTAATTTTCTCATTAAGCTATTTTAAATGACGTATGTTAAAAATATTGAAAATATTTTTAATGACGTATGTTAAAAATATTAAAATGCTGGTTCTTCTTATTGTTTGGTTTTATAATAAATTGTTTGGTTAAAATTATTGATTGGTTTTAAAATAAAATTTTAAAAAACATTTAAAAATTTGTAAATGTTTTAAAAAACATTTAAAAATTTTCTGAAAACATCAAAAAGGTTTAGCGAATAAATTTAAAAACCAAAATGTTTTTATTCTAGAATTCTAAAAAAATACGAATAAATTTTTTTTGCTTATTTAAATAAATGATGCAATCATAAAATGACGCAACTTTTTAAAATATTAAAGTGGTTCAATTTTAAAAATACACTTTTGATGTTTAAAAGTTAAAACCTTAAAAATTATTTAAAACATATTAGTAAACCCCAACAACAACAATTATAAAAGAAACGTAACAGTAACATTTTATCTTTCTTTTTTTATTATCTGGTTATAACGGTGCTCCAGAAAGCCCTTTATAGTTTTCATATAGTTTTCATATAGTATCACTTTATAGTTTTCATATAGTTTTCATATAGTATCACTTTATAGTTTTCATATCACAAAGGAGAATTTAACTAGGAAGTTAAGAACTCTTCAGAGCCGTGGCTGGTCTCCCCAACACTCCCTAAATAGGGAGTGGAGGAGGGGGTTCAAGCGAATTTATGGAGTTCAAATGGAAATTTAGGGGTTCTTTTGTATATGTAAGGAGCTTATTTTTTAAGTAATACCTAATGGAATAAATTTTTAAGGTTTTGGGCCCTAATGACAGATATTTTTTGGAAGGAAGGGAGGAGGAGGAGGAGGAGGAGGACCCAGTAGCCACAGCACTGTGCCTGTTTGGTGTATGTTATCCAACAGATTCCATCGAAGTAAAATATAATTGAGTATTCCTCTTCATATCAGACTGAACCCTTAATTTCAAGTATTGATGGTTTTCTCCATTTTTGAATGTATTAATTGTTTTCTCTGGAATGGTTAAAAAAATCAAATCACAAACTCTTTCTCTAAACTTTAAAGGTTAATTAAAAATACAAAACTTTTCTATATTTAACTTTAGTAGTTAAATATTAAATAAAAGTAAAAAGATAAATATTAAATAAAAGTAGAAAGATAAATATTAACAACAGAAAAATAAAAAACAATAAACAACTTTATCATTAACAATTAAAAAAATTACAGAATTAAATTTAAAAAAAATGATAATAAACACAAAAAAATGTAAACATGATTATCTTGAAAAATTAAAGGTCAGTTTTTAAAACAGGTCTACAATCTTTCGTATGCTCATGACATAGAAACTTATTTAAGTCTTTATTTTTGCGATACTTATTATAAATACCATCCTCTCCTATCGCTTCAATAAATTCGTAACATTTCATCGATAACCTAGATAAAATATTTTATTTTTTTAGAAAACTATAAAATTTTTTTTAGATTTCTATAAAATTATATATATATATATATATATATATATATATATATATATATATATATATATATATATATATATATATATATATATATATATATATATATATATATATATATATATATATATATATATATTAGTCAAAAAACATCAATGCGAATTCTCTTTATACAATTAATAATTTATTATTAGAAATTTTCGCTGGATTATGGTTACCAGCATCATCAGCTCGTAAAAATTATATATTATAATTTTTACGAGCTGATGATGCTGGTAAAATTATATAGTATAATTTTTACGAGTTGATGATGCTGGTAACCATAACCCAGCGAAAATTTCTAATAATAAATTATTAATTGTATAAAGAGAATTCGTATTAATTGATGTTTTCTGACTAATATAACTATATAATCACTCATCAATCAAATATTTAATTTTTTATAATTACAGCTGCAACTAGAAATTTTTATCGCTTATAAATATTGATGTTCTTTAAATTTTGCTGTATAAAATTTTAAAGCATTTTCAACATAACTTTAAAAACATTTACTAATTATCAATTAATAATAATTATTACTAATTATTAACAATTATTACTAATTGTCAAGAAAAAATTAATCCTTTATAAAAGTAAAAAGCATTTATATATTTAAAACATAAATTTAGATATGATTATAAATATAATAATGTATAATATATATAAATAATAAAAAGTTATAAGTAAAAATACCTTCCTGGCCACTTTCCTCCACCTTGCATCATACCAGGTACTTGATCTGCTTCAAGACCTTTTCCAGATATTCTATTTACTCCATTTACTGATTTTAAGCCATAGCTAAAAAATTTAATTATTTTTAAGCCATAGCTAAAAAATATAATTTTTTTTGAGCCATAGCTAACAATCAAATTTAATTATTATTAAGCCACAGCTAACAATCAAATTTAAGTTTTTTTAAGCCATAGCTAACAATCAAATTTAATTATTTTTAAGCCATAGCTAACAATCAAATTTAATTATTTGTAAGTAGCTAACAATCAAATTTAATTATTTTTAAGCCATAGCTAACAATCAAATTTAATTATTTTTAAGCCATAGCTAACAATCAAATTTAATTTTATTGATCGAAAAAACTAAAATTTCGAAATTTTACCAATTACCATCCTTAATAGCTTTATTGACTAATCTACCATCTGAGGTTTAAATCTCTTACCATTTAAAATGGGGATTTTATTCCAGAGGTTTCCTTTCTCATAGGGAAGTTGCCTTCACAATATGTTAAGTAACCTCTGCCCCACACAGTAAAATACCATTCAATCATTCAGTAAAATAACAACAAATAAATTAATTTGTTAACAAAATTTTATTTTATTTTTAAATATATTATTTTTCTTATTTTATACTCAAATTGATGTCCCAGGAAAATAATAAATAAAAAAAATTTACCTCCATGATCTATACTGCTACTTTCATAATAATTAGACTTACAAAATTGCGGCAAAAACACAAACCTTGGCTAACAAGAGTAAACAACAAAAAAAAAAAAAAAAAATAACAAAAAAGAAACTAACAAGGGAAAATAACAGACAAGGTACATAAACTTGTATGTATGAAAAAAGTTTTGAATATCCGGAAAAACTAAAAGTTGAAAAAAATAACAGGAATTCCAAAAATATCCGGAAAAAGAAAATTCCTGAAGAAAAAAGAAAACAAACAACAAGAAACTAACAAGAGCTGCATAGAGAAATAAGTCGAGTCTGTACTATAGGACATGGTTGTGATTGAACTCTCTCTTAAGAAGCAAGTACTCAAAAACTCACAGCTGTTTTACTGTAGAAATACAGTTTCTTATTATTTTATGAAAAGTTTACTTAAGGAATGTCACTAAAATTTTAGAAATATTATACAACAGAATAAAAATAAATTTGTTATCTAATTACATTATCAACTAAACATAACTTATCAAATAAACAATTAAAAGAACTTTATTTTTTAAATAAATGATAAACTTATAAATCTATTGATATTCATATCAACAAACTGATCCTAATTTTTAGCAGCAAATATACAATTTTTTGTACATTTTTTAGCAAAAATTATACAAAAAGTATATTTTTAATATTTTTATTATATAAACATTGTTAGACCAATTTTAAAACAAAAACATAACAAAACTATAGTAGATAGGCTCCTATCAGTCAGTATTCCTAGAATCATTTTGTAACTATATTATTTAAATCATTAAAAAATATGTAAAAAATCACACTTTTCCCATGTTTTTGCCTCGCATACTTTTTCAAATGCATCAAGATAATCAGATTCCTTCAACTTTCTATGGCCAACTTTTGCTTCTTCTTTTTTTAACATTTCAGTTAACTACAAGAAAAATATTGATTATTAGATGTATGTATGTAATACATATATACATACACATACATACATACATACATACATACATACATACATACATACATACATACATACATACATACATACATACAGACATACATACATACATACATATATACATACATACTTCTTGTATGTTCCCAATCCCCAATAATGCTATCCTTGAAAACATTAAAAATTGATGTCATTAGTTTTTTATACTATATTCTTTATGACACAAAATCATATAAATGGCTTTGGACTGTTATCAAATTAATTTGTAAGAATAAACTCTTTGAAATTTGAAAAGAATAAAAACTCAAATTTTTAATATAAAACAACATTTAACTTTTTTTCATACATTTTTTGTTAATTTTTACTTTTTAAAGATTCTTTTTTATGTTAATTTATTTTTTTTATAAATAAAAAATAATCCTTATTACAATTTTCTTTTTTTTATGAATATTCTGCTTCATCCAACGCCAAAATTTCAAAAAAAAAAAAAAATTTAATGCCCCACTTAATTCTTCATCCAATGAAAGATTGGATTTTCAGGAGCTTGAGCCCACCTCTAATGGTCCTGGTCACACACACACATATACTTTAAGATACTAAAATATGATATGTATAGAGCGGTTGATCATGGGTAAGATTTTGGTCAGAGTTGAGGCAATATACAATTAACTGAATCTGAGACTATAAACCACGCTTTAAATCTGAGACTATAAACCACAACTTTGATAAAAATGAAATTTATTAAACTTTATCATATTGCATAGATCTCTTTTTTGAGTATTTGAAATTTTTTTCTAAACATTGCATTTTAAGACAGAATTTTACATAAAACAATTATATAGTTTCATAAATTTAAGCTTTCAATAGGATATTTTTTAAAAACTTACTTAGTTTGATATAATTATTTGTTTTGGTAATATCTAATTGATTAAATGTTAATTGGATATTTTTCACTGCTATATATTACAATGACCTAATAAATTGTTATGTATAACTATTAGTTACCAATATTTTTAAAATGAAAATTTTTATGAAAGCAAGAAATATTTTTATGGTAGCAAGAAATATTTTTATGATAGCAAGAAATATTTTTATGATAGCAAGAAATAGTTTTATGATAGCAAGAAATATTTTTAGAAAGTTAGTGTTTAGAAATAAAATTTCCCCATAATATTTCAAGAACAAGTTCCGAGATCTGCATCAAAAATTAGAAAAGTAAAAGAAAAATAGCTTGATTGCTAAAAGAATACAAAATATTAATTAATATTGGATGCAGGATGCAAAAAAGTTTTTTAGATTTTTTTTATCATTGTTAATAATTTAAAAAAACTTTTGAAAAAGATCTAAAAACAAAGCAAAAATGATTTCTAAAGACATTAAAACAAATACATGATAAAACATTTAACAAAAATCTACTAACATTATAGTTTCAAAAAATAATATTTAACAAAATAAGTTTGATAAAATAACTTTTATTAGGTTTTTTTGTGACAAGAATATAGATATGTAAAAACCTGTTGAAATTTTTTATTATATGTCCTGGTGAAATTTGTTATTATTTTGTCCTGTTTAAGCTTTAATATATACATTTTTGCAAGTGTAAAGAAAAAAAAAACTTCTTATAGGTTTAAAAAATAAAATTATAATAAATGCTATACTAAATACCTGGTATGAAATTGCCGTACATGCATCACACTTCATGTTTCCTGGAAGATGATTGGAAAACTGTTCCTCTTCAGTCATCTTTGGACTCTCAAAAGTTAATTTTTCTTGTCCAAAAATTGTTCCAACAAAAAATGTTAAAGTAACGAATGTAAACATTTTCAAATATCTACCTGAAAAAACAACAACAACAACAACTAATTGACAAAAATATTTTTTTTATTTCAAATGAATGTAATATAGAGGGTAATTGGGGACACTAAGCTCCATGGGGCATTAAGCCCCATTTCCTTAGTTTATATAATATAATGCTTAATGTTATTGTATGAAAAGAAAATGGCATTAAGCTCAACATGATAGAAACTAACTAACCAATTAGGGAACTTTTCACAGCCATTCTTGGATCTTTACCCAATGGCATTTATTTTTAATTAGAATTGGATTGGTTTTTACCTCCAGTTTCCAGTTTCCTTCAAACTTGTTGAAAAATTTTAGTTAAGCCAGTTCTTGATTGTTTTGACTTAAAATATTATTTATACATTATACATCTAAACTATGTACTTTTTTTTTAACTTTATAACTATGTGTGTATGTAACTATGTTTGTATGTAATGAATAAGTTAAAATACTGATTTTTGTAGAGTAAATGAAAGTACCCAGCCGACATATCAAAGTGATATTATTATGATATCAAAATTTTTAACATTTTAAAAATATTTAAAAACTATGCAACTTTATGTTAAAATTTATACATTTTTAATTTTGATTGGATAATTTTGAATTAAAATAAACAAAATGTTGTCTTTAAACAAAAATAGGTCTAGTGTAAAAATTAGTTTTGGTTCACTTCACTAGATATACTTTGCTATTAATTTTGTTAACTGAATTTAGATACCGATTAAAATGAAAGATATTGCAACAAGAAGTAACAAACTAATAAATAAATAAATCATAAACTAGTACACAAATAAATCAAAATTAATAAAGTTCTTTAGAAATTTCCCAGTAATAAACGAATTTTAACATAAAAAATTTACTCAGAGTTGTTTTTGTACTTGCCTTTAATAAAGTCAACAACAAATTATATTTCAGAAATTTTCATTAAATAAGATTGACTGCTCAGTAGTTGTAGAAGCAATTGGTATATGCGCATCAAAAAACTTGGATGATTGTATAATTCTTGCAAATAGTTTAGCAAAATTTAGTTATATTTCTTGAACAGAAAATAAGAAAGTATTATGGGTTCAGAAAAAAGATACACTAATGGAATAACTTATGTATTACGTTTTTAATCAGGTTTTTGCAACTTATAAAACAATTACAAATAGCATTGCATCAGCATTGCATCAGCATTCATTGCAATCAGCTTCAGAAAAACCCTTGGTTTACAAAAATTCCTTGTGGCAATATACTTAAATATCCAAACAATTGTGAAATCAAGATTTAGGTAATTTAGAAATATTTTGGAAAATGTGTCTCATTGTTAAAAAACTTAAAAATATAAAATACAGTTGGAACCAGTGACAAAAACAACAGAATGGGTTAGCAAAAAAAAAGTTGTAAGCTTTACATTAGGCGCCCAAGAGATATTATATCTTAGCTTGTTTGAAATTCCAAGGCGGCCCATTTACTTGCGAATCAGATGTCAATAAATATATTGAAAAATAGAAAGATATGTTAAATGTCAAAAATTAATTAATTAATAGAATGTTTATTTTAGTTATAATAAAAAAAAGTGATTGTAGCAAAGATCCGCTTTATTTAAAATCATAATTATTGATAAAAATATAAAAAAAAACATTGTCTTATTTCTACAGAAGAATAATTTGAAGTTTCTACTTAACTTGGAAAGTCCTCACAACAATTCACAATCACCTACAATGACTTTTTCTATAGTTGTTAAGGTGCTGCAAGAAGAACTAAGCATCTAATCACAAAGAATCCCGAGAACTAATCACAAAGCAAGGAAGAGTAGTTTAACTAGGAAGTTTACACATTCTTCCTTACCATTGCTTAACTGGTCAGAGCCAACATCGAACCTCAGATTTTTTAATTCTGAGAAAAAACTCAAATCACTGCACCATGGTTGCAATGAAGTTATTTCACATTTTCACTAGTAATTGTTACAAATTGTTCCTTATATGGAGTAATTTTATCTATAATGCCTAATTTTTTGTTGTATTTATAACTACACATAATGATTAGTATTTTATTGATAAAACAAAAAGAAAAATATTTACCACGGATTCTATTTTGATAATAATAATGATTTCATTTAGTTTAACAATTGTTTTGTCAAAAAAAACATTTTTATTGAAATTAAAGTAGAAGGCCAAATATTTATAATAAAAAAAAGTATTAAGTAATTTAAAATCAGCATAAAAAATTAATTAAGAAAAAGGGCACAAAATCCAAAAAAAGTTAATTTTGGACCATAGTTTGTTATCAAATAATTATCTTATTATGATCTCATACTGATTTCACAGCCATAGTTAATAAATTCATTTATGAAATCACCACAAGATCATAATAAGATTATTACTTGATATCAAACCATTTGAAACTATCGATATCATAATTAGATAACTTCTCAATTTTTTATTAAATATATAAGTTGATTTTATTTTTATTCAATATATATAAATATACATCGTATATATTTTTTTCATTTGAAATTCATGTTATATTTTTTATATATATGCATGTATATTTTAGACTTTGTCTGAAAGTGAGAGGGTTGTTATATTCATAACAACCCTCTCACTTTCAGACAAGGTCTAAAAGCACATTGTAAATGTAGTTGGACATGCTTTATCTGCCAAAATTGAGCCACTACCCTGTCCTTGTAAAGTTGCATCACTTTCTTTTTATACAAATACTATCATGGTTGCTACTCGAATGACCTATCATCACTAGTTTGATCAACCAGTACTTATTCTTGCTTGGCTTGTCATTCAGCAAACTCGCATTCTTTTATTGTATCTGTTTCTCCATGCTATAGATATTTTTATTTATCTAGTTTATTTCCTCCCACATCAAAAAAACCTTAAAACTCTTACCCATCTTCTTTTCCTGACTCATACAATCTACAACTTTTTAAGTCTTTAGCTAACTCTTTCATTTCTCTTTAACCTTATTCTTTGTTTTCTAGTGCTCATAACTTAATAATGGTTGCTTGCTGTTTAAAGTTAATTAGCTTATTAAAAGTTAAAAAACTCCTCAAACTTGCCAAAGGGCTCCTAAATTTGCAAATGGGCGCCCTAAATTTCTGCCCCCCTCCTTTGGAGTATATAGGGTAGCCTAGCCACAGCTATTCAACAAATATTTAACAAATACTAAATGCATACATAAATTTATAATATATAAAATCTTATGAATTTTTTCCTAGCTGTCAACCCCTGCTAAATCTTATAATTCTACTGAGGTTAAGTTTGAAAAAAGGTCCCATTTTTAGCTGGGGCCATGGCCCAGAAACTGGTCACTTACTACAACATATGTTTTTATAATAAACATATTTCTAATAGTTATAATAAATAAGTGTTTTATTAAAAATATGTCAATACTTGTACATTTTTTTTTCTTTTTTTATTTCAATATCTTCACTTCCAACAAGGCTGCAAGCAACCACTATTTGATTTGGAAGTTACTAGAAGAGAAAAGATAAGGTTTATAAAGCAAGATAACAATTGACAGATGACTTAAAAGATTGCAAATTATATGAATCAGGGAAGCAAGATAAAGGAAGCGAATTCCAAAGAACTGACGTTCAAGGAAAAAAACTAGATGAATAAGAGTTTTTGGAGAACTTAGGAACAGTCACAGTAAAAGGATGAGACTTAATTGATTGACTAATAACACAAGAATGAATTTTAGCAGATGGCATTGTATTTGTAGAAAAGTGAAAGAGAAGCAACATTATAATAATGCGATGATGGTTGGAGGTTGGCTGTAAGAGCAGATCTAACTATGATTACAATGCGTTTTTTCACCTTGTCAAAAAGAGAAAGGGCATCATCGGAAGATCCACCTCAAACAGTATTCATTAAAAGAACAGATTTGAGATTTATAGAAATAAAGAATAGAATCCAGAGTAAGAAAGTGTCAAGCTTGATAAAGAGATGCAACCTTAGCAGATGTTAACTTTGCAATGGATTTGATATATGGTTTCCAATAAAGATTGGAAGTAAGAATTAACCCTAGAAGATGAAGGGTATATGACTCATTAAGTACATTACTGTTCATAAATAAAGGAAGATCTAAACTATTGCGATAATAATTGGCTAAAAAATTAAGATTTATCTGAATTAAAGTTCACCAACCACTGTGATACCCATGCTGTAGCAGAAGTGAGATCCTTTTCAAACTCAAATGCCCCCTCCAGAGAGTGTGGGCTTCAAAACAAGAATAAATTATAGTATCATCAGAGATCAATGCTACCTTAGATGTGAGAATTTTTGGAAAATCATTAATGTAAATAAAAAAGAGTATAGGGCCAAGGATAGAACCTTGAGGAATCCCTGAAATTACAGGATATGAAGAAAAGTGCTATCCATCCAGGATAACTTTTATACAACGATTGGTGAGGAAAGGATACAATTACCTTGAATATGTTACCTGATACACTGTGAGAAGAAAGCTTATTGAGAAGACCAGCATGCCAAACTTTATCAAAAATTTGGCATGCTGGTCTTCTCAATAAGCTTTCTTAAAAAAAAAAAAACTTACTTATGATAGGAAGAAGACTAATGAGACGGTAGATAGACAAGTCAGATTGCTCTCCAGAATTTTTGAAAATAGGGATAACAGATGCCGCTCTCCAGCAGGCTTGAAAAACAAGACTCAGATAAGCACTTGTTCAATAGTTTTGAAAATATAGACAACAGCTCCAGAGAACACCTCTGCAAGACTATAACAGGTATGTTGTCCAGACCACAAGCTGTAGAAGTCTAAGCAGGAATCACTTTAAATACAGAAGCTGGAGTGATACGAATGTCAAGTAATGGATTAACCTGTTTGTCGGATATATCAGGTAGAATAAGGATAAAAATACTGTTAAAGATTCTGGAAAAAAAGTCTTGAGAACCTAATTTTCGAGATGATATACGAGATTTCATGGCCTGAGAATAGCGGACTTAAACATCTGTTTTATAGAGAATTGCAGCAGCACAATGTGAAAACAATACAGAAGAGTGAGGCTTGACTTGACGGTGAGAATCACCGAAAGGAAATAAAAGATTCTATGCCAGCCTGAATCCAATAAGTTATGTAAAAAGCACATTTGTCAGCAGGAAGACAAAAAATTTCTACTCCAGGGCCATCATGAAAAAAATCACAGAAAGAGTCCAAGTCAACTTTATGGTAGTTGTAAGAGTTACAATGATAGGGGGATTCTGATGATGAAGAAAAGTTTGTTTTAGAGAGATCAAACCATGATCAGAAGCACCTAAGGATGAATATGGAGAAAATGAGCACTGACTAGAATCAGAAACAAGACATAAGTTAAGTAGAGAAGGTAAATGATTCGGGTTGTCTGAAAAGCAAGTTGGAAAATTAACTATTTGAGTTAGAGATTGAAAAAGGCAAAAGTTGTGGGCCTTAACGCCTGCAGAGTTACTGACACTAGAGCCAAGCCATTCAGTGTAATAGAGGGTTTGGTCAATTTTGATTACAAATAACATCAAAAAGAGTGCAGTCTTGAGATGAAGGAGAGCAATATAGAACAAAGAGAAAGACAATAGTAAAGTGACATTAAACGAAAGCACATAAAAGAATAGTTGGTGGATTCAAACCTAGTTTCCTGACAATTGTAAATGCCCAGGCCAAACATGTCACTAATGGAGTCTTTACAAATTAAAGGAAGATAAACATCAACACTTAGATTACATGATGAGACAGCCGAACTCAAATTAGTCTCACAAAAAGCAAGTAGGTTTGGTGAACTTTGCGAGAGATAAGACTCAACAGAAGAAAAGTTACTTCGAAGACCATGAATACTAATGAATGGTAGGTTTAGAGAACTTGGTAATGATGATGGTTTTTTGTGTTTTAAAGTTATTAATACTTTAGTCATTTTTAAATTTGTTAAAGAACTTGACTTAAAGTATAGATGGTACTCAGTACACTAGTAAATAGCCCAAGCGATTGCCTCATTTCTATTAATAAACCCTAAACCGTAAAAATGGGCTCCAAATTTGACCTTGACAATGCATACCAAAAGTACAGACAGGGACACCAACCATGGGCAACATGGCACTGTTAGTACTCTAATATTTTACAGCTGTTGATGGAATCAGCCACTCTGAGAGCTACCACAGAGTTTGAGAAACCTGACTACCAGCCTGCCTCAGATTCATAAAATTGAGTTTTAGAACTGTACCTCATTAGGAGATAATAGAATAAGTTGTCTAGACATAATAACAGAGACACAAGCAAAACCCATGCATTGAGTCAAGAAGATCCAGCATTAAACATCCTAAACTGGAAACTATGTATTAAAAATACATCTGTGCCAGCCTAATAGATGAAGAAGAGGTGCAGGGCTGGTCAACAGATAGAACCTGTTTACCCCTTAAGTTTTGGCTTTGTTGATTTGGTTAATATGAAAGCGATTCCTGGCCTAGAAACAGTGCAAAAAATATTAAAGTTTAAAGTATAAAACTAATTAAAATGTTTAAATCAAGTTCTAAAGTTGAAGCAAAGACAAAATTTAAACTATGAATTCAGATTATATCATTAAAGCAGAGATGTTAAAAGTTAAAATATCGGAATAAATCTATACCGATAAAAAGATTGTGATTTGATTTCTGAAGAACAACTTGTATACATATCAAATATGGTTTAAACATTTTTTACATGTTTTGTATTATAAATCCAAATAAAGAATGAAAATTATATTTAATTTTGTATTTTTTCATTTAATTTTCATTCATATTAAAAATAAGAAAAATTCATACTATTTTTATGTCATTATTATTATTATTATTATTATTATTATTATTAATATTGTTGTTGTTGTTGTTGTTGTTGTTATTGTTATTGTTATTGTTATTGTTGTTGTTGTTATTGTTATTATTATTACTATTATCAAATAATGGCACGTAGTAAATGTCATTGTAAATTTACCCAATGTAGCAGTTCCAAAAACGTTATCTAATTGTTAAGTATGATTATTTAATTAAAACTAAACATAAGCTTACAATATATTAGATCAAGCTATTGAAACAATGCTCACTTATGTGTAGAAAGTATAGATGTAACCATGCAACTATTTTTTAACCTAACTATATTTGTTGACTCCACCTGGACTCGGTGTGGTAATGAAAGTGAAAGTCGGCTTTTAATAGACGCCAGAGCGCATTTATGCGGTTCGATACTTTTTTCCAGTAAGCAAATCCAGTTTTCGCTTTTTTTGTAAAATCAAGACCCAAATTATTTAAATTTATTTAAACCGTTTATACTCATTTTATTATAATATTTTGCGCTAGATAAATAGTTTAAAATGTTTATTATATTAAATAATTACTTTCAATACATTATAGCAAAATTTGTTCAACTTATCAGTATTAAAAACGAATTCGATACTTAAGCACTTATTTTATTTGGGTCAGGATTTTATTTAAAACGCGAAACTTAGATTTGCTAACTGGAATTCCCCCATTTATGCGTGAGAATGGAATTTTTTCTTTAATTCATTTTGTAAGGGTGTGCAAAAGTGGCCAATTCTTTTCAAAAACACTCTGGAAAAATTTTAATGCTCTATTAATAAATTTAATCTGGCGTGCAAATTTGACACTTGAGTCGACATTATTGGATCTATAGTTGGCAGTCACTAATGTCGGGCAACGAGGACCTTTTTTTTTTATTTCAGTCGTAAAAAATTTTTTTTTGGTCTTAGTCGTCAAAAAACAGATAGTTCAACTCCCCCCCCCCTCCTTTAAGATCTCTTCAGGACAGCCCTATATATATATATATATATATATATATATATATATATATATATATATATATATATATATATATATATATATATATACGTATATATATATATATATATATATATATATATATATATATACATATATATATATATATATATATATATATATATATATATATATATATATATATATATATATATATATATATATATATATATATATATATATATACATATATATATATATATATATATATATATATATATATATATATATATATATATATATATATATATATATATATATATATATATATATATATATATGTATATATATATATAAATTAGTAGAAAATCACTTAGCAAAATTTTTTCTCATTTAACACTGTGTTTCATCAATGAAGACTCATCAGAAATCTGATGAGTCTTTATTGATGAAACACAGTGTTAAATGAGAAAAAATTTTGCCAAGTGATTTTCTACTAATTTGTAATTGCTCTGTTCTTTTAAGAACATTGAGCACTCTTTTTGTCAAATACATTTTAAACTGTTTAAATATATATATATATATATATATATATATATATATATATATATATATATATATATATATATATATATATATATATATATATATATATGTATATATATATATATATATATATATATATATATATATATATATATATATATATATATATATATATATATACAGTGGCAGACTGGCTGTATATATATTACCGGCCATGATAATAATTAAAGGGCCCTCCCGGCCATACATATATTGCAAAGACTGTCCGGTCCGCAACTCTCTAAAAATAAGTCTTAAGAGGAGCAATTAAATCACAGATTAATAAAATTATATTGAATTAAAAAAGTAGAAGTGATGTGCAATTTGCACAGTGCAAAGTATAGCAATAACTATTCTTTAAACAGTTTGCTCAATTCAGAGGACGAAGATGCATATCTTTGAATGATCGTATCATACTCAAGGCTATCAAGTAGATTTTTTTCTACAGACATCAACATATACGACTCTAAGTGGTCATTTGACATAGAATTACGCAATCTTGTCTTGATTAACTTTAACTTAGAAAACGATCTTTCACATTAGGCTTGTATTACAGAAATAGTACATATTATTTTATAAACATGATACAAATTGTCATAGGTTTTGTCGTTGAGTCTATATACAGCAAGAATTCGTAACACACAAGATGGACACGATCCGCATGCTCCATTTGTATGCTGATAACAGAGCGGTTCTTCTATGTCATCCTTTTGATATGCATTCTCTCTCAATGTTGTTGTTAAGGGCAAGGACAATTTCAAAATCTCATAGTTAGTGACAAATGATAACAATTTGGCTTTTATTTTATCAACGTTGGCATCTGGTAAAAATTTGATAATGCTGTGTAAACTGTTTTCAGGAATTCCCGAAATGGCAAGATCACCAAAGTTTGATGTATCAAAACATGCTATGTCCATATATAATTGTCGATGTGAAGTGAAACGTAACTCAAGACTTTGGACTACCTGATCCATCACCACATTGTAAGTGTGAATTTTGTAGTGTTCCAAAGCTTTAGATTCGTCACGTTTGTCTACTGTATGCTCATCTAACATCGTTAGTGTCTTCCGCTTCCGTTTAGCTGGTAGTTCTATCTTTACCTCTAACATGGTTTCAGTTCTTTGAATAATGCTTGCATTTGCCATCCGAACAAATTGAAGAGCGTTATTATGAACATCATCAAAAATTCTTGATTGACTTTTCAATTCAATTACGGCCTTCTCCACCTTGAAAAAGTGGGACCACTTTTTCAAGGTGGACCACGGCCTTCTCCAACTTGAAAAAGTGGGACCACTTTTGAAAAAGTGGTCCCACTTTTTCAAAAACTTGCAGGTAGGTAAAGGCAGTCAAAATGGTGTCAAATTTCAGGAATGGCATGAGCAATGTCTTAGTTTCATGACGTGTCTTTGTATCAAAATTTTCTGATTCGCTTATACATGACAGACATAAAATTAAATTGACAAACACTGTTGAAAATGGCTCAGCAAATGTTCCAAATATCGCTGTTGCAGCATTTGATTTACCCGACCACCTTGTTTCACCAATCAATTTCAATCTTTTCATCTTATCCATTCCAATTTATGTTTCAACAAGTTTAATCCATGTTGCCACTCGCTTATATGACACTTTTATGAATGTTGAAACATTTTGCAAAAGGGTAAAAAATGAAACTGCCTGAATGCAGCAACTGGTTGCCTCCTTCACAACTAAGTTGAGAACATGAGTATAACACCAAATATGTACATGGTGGTCTGCAGCTTCTGTAATCTTTTGTTGCAGTCCATTGTACTGGCCATGATAACTTGAAGCACCATCAGTGCTGTCCGATAGGCAGTATTTCAAATTAAAGCCAAGCCGCTGTAGCTTCAAATTTAAGAGATCGAACAAGCCTTTGCCAGTACCGTTATTGCTTGTTACAATAGAAAGCAGCCGTTCATGCACAGTAGCATCTAAAACATAGCGAACCACAATGCTGAATTGGTCAATTGCAGATATATCTTGTGTAGAATCAACTTGTACGGAGTACACTTTTGCTTTGGATACTTCCATTGCAATCTGTTCCTGCATCATATTTTTCATAATATTGAGAAGCTTTGATATAGTAGTCTTACTTAAAAACGTAACCAGAGCACCGCGACCTTTACTGCCGGCTTTACCTTGACGCTTCAGTTTTTCTATTCTTTTGTTTGATTTCTCTTGACACATGGAGAGATGAGAAGCTAAAAGTGGGTCATATTTGGCCAAGAGCTGTACTAAAGCCAAAAAATTTCCATGATTTTCTTCATCATTGTCCAACGAATAAGCACCTTCATTCCTATGACCTCGAAATGGCAATGTTTGCTTACATAAATGTTTAATGATATCAATAACTCGAGAAAGTATTTGTTTCCGTATCAGTACTTCATAATTATATTTCTTTATTGCTGTACTATAAAATCTGTCAAAGTCTTGATTATTCATTATACGAATGTAATCAAGAACATGTCTGTGGTGAGTGCTGCTTGATTCGTGTTCTGCAACCCGTTGGCTAACTCGTCTAAAATCTTTGAAGCCAGACACAAACGATGAAACGGTGTTAGACTGTGGTGATTCAAATGCAACACAAAATGAGTAATATAGAGACTGAGAATTTTGGCTAAATGACAACCAATTTCTCGGTATGCTATCCTTCAAGTCCGTTTGTCTATGGTAGATCTTGTTATCAAACGGCAAATGTTCATGTGGTTGAATTGGATGTTTGCTAAAAAAAACATTTTAACTGCAAACGTGGTGGATATTCAAATGCTGATGTACTCTGCGAATTCGACTCAATATCTCCACCACCTCGAGCTTGTATTATTGCTGATGTACTCTTCAAATTCGACTCAATATCTCGACTACCTTTTGCTTGTATAACTCCTGATGTACTCTGTAAATTTGACTCAAGATCTCGACTACCTAGTGCTTGTATTATTGCTGATGTACTCTGTGAATTCGACTCAATATCTCCACCACCTCGTGCTGGTATTATTGCTGATGTATTCTGTAAATTTGACTCAAGATCTCGACTACCTAGTGCTTGTATTATTGCAGATGTACTCTGCGAATGTGATTCAATATCTCCACCACCTCGCGCTAGTATTATTGCTGATGTACTCTTCAAATTCGACTCAATATCTCGACTACCATTTGCTTGTATAATTCCTGATGTACTCTGTAAATTTGACTCAAGATCTTTACCACCTCGTGCTTTAATTATCTCTGATGTAATTTGTACATTCGACACAATATTGCTTTGACATTGTGGTTGTACTGACAAAAATGATGTGATTAACTTGCACTTTTTTGCAGAAACTTCTATCTCTGTCTATCTCTGTAGTTTTTCTTTGCGCTTTTGTGCTCCAGATTTTGACATGATGATAGTGACCTGAGTTTAGATTTTAACATTTAAAAAATTAAGCAAAAATAAAGATCGTCTCTTTTTAAAAAAAAATGATATTTAGATCTCCCCAAATAAATTTTGTCCGATCAAATTTGTTTGAACGGCAAAAATTGCAAATCAAACATATTAAAACTCAAATAAAGACAGGCCACTAATGACAGATTTTTGGTAAAGAAAGGGGGGCAATGACTCCTTAGCCACGGCACTAATTCCGGTATATTTTAGAATCTTAACTATAGCTATAATTTCCAGATCTGTGAAATTCTTGTATTTTTCTTTTATATTATGACTGCTTACTGCTGGAATTATTTAAACTATTGCATTTAAACATTAGAAAATTCATTATAGATGAATTTTCTATTGTATTCCTTGAAGGAAATAGAAGGAAAAGAGTAGCAACTACCAACTTATCCTTTTTTTTAGTACTTTAACTTGATAGGTGAAGAACATTACGATTATTAATGAAAAAAGAACATGTTTTTAAGAAATAATTTGGATTAGACATTTTATAACAGTTCTTACTCTCTTGATCTATAATCATGTTTAAATTAATGAATTTTTAAATTTTGTTTATAATTTTTTAACAATTTGAAGCGTCAGAACGAAATCCTAAAGAATTTCAAATATAGACTTAATAAAAATCTAAAATTCTGTTTAAGCAAAAAAGATATATACATATTTTTTTCTTTCAACACAAACAGAAGTAGCTGTATTAAAAAATACCTTTTCATGTATTTTATCTCATCCTAAGTTATACATTGTCAAAGTTTAGGATTTTGCTAAAATTTCCGATTTAAGTTTTACTAATTTGCCCTAATAGGGCAAATTAGTAAAACTTAAATCGGAAACCAGCATAGTTAAACTACACTGAGGTACTTTAAGCTGACTAACACAAAAAGTGTTATTTATGTGTTACATAAACAGTAATGCTTATAAAAAGTTACAGAAAACTTGATCATCCGGAAATTTATTTAATCCTTTACCTTTCAAATCTTATTATTTCAGCCGATTAGTATGATCAATGATCACCTTTAAACAATTATTTCGAGCGCGGAAGTTAACTAAAAGTTTTAGATTAAAAAAAGATAATAAATTTTATACAAACTAAAATACCAACCTCAAAAGAAGACTAACATCGCCTCAGTAAACTGGTTGATCAAGTGTGTTTTTGTGTTGAACTATTATTTTTTAATTAAAAAGCACCGCAATTGCAATAATAGTTACAAAGTCAATTCCCTTAGGAAAATCATTGATTGTATTTGTATCTGAAAATCATTAACAATTGCAAAACCTTCGCAATTCCCTTATGACATTTTACATTATATGTAAAACTTTTCTTCGACAATCAAAAACGATTGTAAAGTTTTACGATCATTATTGATTGTCAAACGAGAATTTTACATGAAATTAGTTTTACAGTAAAACTATTTCTTTAGAGAATTTCGCACTTAATAGAGCTGAATAGTATATACAAGAAATTAAAAATAGTTCAACTTTATAATTAATTGTAATAATTATATATATATATATATATATATATATATATATATATATATATATATATATATATATATGTATATATATATATATAACCTAATATTTATACTATATATACATATATTACCTAATATATATACTATATATATATATATATATATATATATATATATATATATATATATATATATATATATATATATATATATATATATATATATATATATATATATATATATATATATATATATATATATATAATATATATATAAGGGGCCCACCGTTATATATATTTCAAATGGTCGGTGGGCCAGTCCGCCACTGTATATATATATATATATATATATATATATATATATATATAATATATATATATATATATATATATATATATATATATATATACAAAATTTTGCTGTTTTAAGTTAAGTAGTGAATAAGAAACTATGACAAATTCTACACCTGATTCTATTAATTCTTATGTTAAAGAATACCGCGAAAAGTGTTTAAATTAGGTAAATTTGTTTCCTGTTATTATCTAGTAAATTTGTTTCCTGTATCTTGTTAAGTATCTTTTAGTGTCCTGTATCTTGTTTGTTTATTTAAAATGTTGATTTTAGTCAAATCAACATTTTAAATAAACAAACAAAAAATTGTAATAATTTTACGTTTTTTTATTATACCCACGGTTAACAAAAACTCCCAAAGATTTTTTTTTATCCTGCTTTAGAAATAAAGTGCAGTATATACAGTAAACTGCGCCTTCACTTTTGCTGTAGACAAATCCATTTTGTAAATATTCTTCTTTACAAGCGCGTTTGCAACCATATTTTAATGTTTTGGGAAATTAAAAATGTATCTCTGTTTTAAGTTATTCGTAAACATTTTGTATATTTCATGTGGTGATAATTGTTGATTTCCGCGCAAGAGTTCGTCAATATCATATCTTCGTCTTTAAAATCACATTCTTCTAAATTTGTTTGGTCTACTTCGTATCACAAGCTTTTGTTAATATTATTATCATCTTTAATGACTTTCTCTTTTTCTTCTACTTCGGGTAATGTTTTATCGGTTACATTTTGAGAACTGTCGATAAAAAAGAAACACTTGAAACGTAAGTAATTAATAATAAACTTTTAGATCTTAAACTATACCAAAACTAAAAATCCTATGTAAACATTACAATTAAAATTAAGTAATAACAAAAGTACTATCATTAAAAAATTTAACGTGTAGATAATATCTACACTGTAAAACTTTAACGTGAAAATCAAGTGCCGGTATTGTACCGTGATTATTTTACGGTAGAACACCGTGAATAAATCACGGTAAAATAGATTACAAAAAAACACAAATTTAAATTATGTGACATTAATATGACGTTATATAAATATTTATATTCGAGTTTAAGAACGAATCAAATTCAAAAAAAAAAAAAACAAGAAAAAGATATTATTGTAAAACTTTTGAAAAATTACAAAAAAATATAAATAACTACAAAATAAATTGTTTTTTTAAAGTTATATTTAGAAGTTTAACTACGTGATAAATTCAAATATTATTAAATCTCGCAAACTTCTGCAGTATTGACAACAAAATTTTGCTTATTGATGAAGTCTTTTTTGTTCGCCGTGATTTGCTCCTTTTTTCAGGATTGATGCCGAAAATTGCACTAGAACAGTCAATAATATATGTATAAGCAATTGATGTCTGAAAACATTCTCATCAATAAAATAAAAAATACCATTAAAATCAAATACAATATAAACTTTAGAAAAATTAAATAAATTTACTTCAATATAACATAAACATAATATACCATTGACAAAATTCTAATATAGATGAAGCTTCTTTTGAATATGGTATATTGAAAATATAAAAACTCGAAAACAAACAACAAAATGACTTGACAAAATTGGTAATTTCATCAACCACAACAATGCAATTAACTACCAGCATGAATCAATTTGCTGTAAATAGCAAATTTCCTAAAAAAAGAATGCAAGTTGACCTAAAATAAAATTCACTAAGTATATATAAAGAAAAATGATAGAACTCATCCTTTTTTTTACAAAATATGTTTCAAGTTTTTGATTTTCAAAAACGTAAAACATATACGAACTTGTAATTCAACATACCATAAACTTTTCATCATCTAGAGTTCACCAGCATTCACTCCACACATCAAAACATCAAAGTGATGTTGCAAACCATCAACCTAAATATAAAAAATCAATTTAAATACATAGATATACTAAAACTAAATACAATAAACTTCTACAAAAATCTATAAAAAAGAAATATCTATTTATTCATCATTATATAGATCTTCAATATAATTGCTAGAAGTCAATGTTCAATGTTCAATGTTCAATGCCGTTAGTTACTATTGTTCGATATTAGTAACGGTTCTGTATTCTGTAAAATACTCTAATGCAAACAGTTTTGAAACTTTTGAAATTACACGAGGCAAGCTTTTATATTTAATAAGGAGATAAAGCTGTATTTATTTTTTAAACGTTTGTATCAGATTTGTTGTGTGTTGATGCCCTAACGATTTTTTATTTTTATTTACTATTTGTTTGTTACTATTGTTTCACGAATACTTTGTTTCACGCAAACTTTTATGGCTTTTCAATAAATATTTTATTTAATGTAACTTACAGGATATAAATGAATTTTATTCATAAATATAAACTTGATATTGTATTTTTGTTTATTTTATTTTATGATATTGTAGTTTGTTTATTTGCAGCAAACATTTGCTAACATTTTTATTTATGTTTATTTTGTTTAGTTATTAAAATGCTAAAAATACTAGCAGTAAGCATTTCCTACCATTTCTATTTATTTATTTAGACTTAAGTTAAAAGAAAATTTTCCAGAGTTGTGATAAATCATAATTCAGTTGTTAAACAGATGAAATTGTAGAGGTTTCTATCAAATATATATATATATATATATATATATATATATATATATATATATATATATATATATATATATATATATATATATATATATATATATATATATATATATATATATATATATATGTATATATATATATATATATAATATATATATATATATATATATATATATATGTTTTTATTGAGCATATCTTCTATTTTTTAGAAGGAAGATAGAGGTATGGATGAGGTCTATTTATTTTTTATGCAACAAAAAAGTTATACTAAATGTGTTTAAATATGTTTAAATATGTATGTATATATATATATGTATATATATATATATATATATATATATATATATATATATATATATACATATATATATATATATTGTGTTTATAGTTGGTTTATATGTTTATATTATGTTATTTCCATGTTTTCAAAGTGCTGTGAATTGGTAAATGTGTAAAGCAAGATTTGTCAACCTAGCCAGCCAAGTCACTTACTGCAAAGGGTTACAAAGCAGTGTTTCGTGTCAAACTGTTACTGCTATAGGTATAGGTGTTTTCAAGCCTTTATTAATAATTACTCTGAAAATACATAATGTATTTTAATTACATTTTGCGTAATGTTGTTACTGATGTTCTGTTATATATGTTATGTTTCTTAAGTTATGTTATATGCATACTATATGAACTTATGGTGAATGCTATTGTTGTTGTGATGTTGTTTTTTTGTAATCTTTTGAGTTGATATACATTTGGTTTACCTTTAAGTTGTTGTCTACTGTTAAAAATGATACATAGTTAATTTCATTATTAGACCTCACTGCATTTAATCATTCACTAAAATTAATATTTAGATTCACTAAAAGCCTACTACTACTACTCTGGTAAATCACATCAGCTTAATCAGGTACAATGATTTCTTTTTTTTGTATGTAATTTTTTTCTTATTTACTTATTTGTTACATTTTTTATTTATCAAATGATGTATTTATGTGGTATAGAAGTACAAAATATTGTTAAGTTTTGTGAATTTTAAAAAAATGTTTACTAATATTTTTTCATTTCCTATGTAATTTTTTAAAAATTATTCTTTGTGTGTGTGCAATTTAGAGAAGTAAAAAAAAAAAAATCACAAACTTCAAGATTCTTTCCAGATTTTTTGTTACTACTATCAATTAAAAGTGAAGTTTAAATGGATGATATTAGGCTAGAAGTGGCTATTAGTTTAGAAAATGATGGAAATGTTAATAAGCAAGTTAAAAATAATCGTCGCAGAAATGCAAAAATGGCTGAGGCGAAATGAAACTAATAATCAACAAAATGCTAGATATGCTGCATGGCAAGCTGCAAATAATTTGAATTAAAATGAGGACAGTGTGATTAGGCAAGTTGAAAATAGTCGTCACAGAATTGCAAGAAATAGGCTGAGGCAGGATGAAATTAATAATCAACCAAATGCTAGATATCCTGCTCGGCAAGCAGCAAATACTTTGAACTGAAATAGGGAGAAAAAAGGGCACGATAGACGTCACTATAATCTCTCTTCACATAATGAAGTTGTATTTTTGGTGAAGATGGTGCTCCACCTACTTCCAGTGAAGTTGTTATATTCCCAAGAGGTCATCCTCTTAAAATATATCAATTATGTCTGCCAAATTTTAGAGCCTATGGTTTGTTCTCTATTTTTTCTAAGGGTTGATGTTGGTTGGCATAATCAATTGGTTCACAACCCTGAACGTGCTACAATCAAATTGGTTCACAACCCTGAACATTGATTAGAAATCATGTTACATTATCTCAGTAATTTAGTTATAGACTTTTAGTTGGACAATTAACCTAAACAAAAAAAATAGGTGAAGTGATTTTTAGTAACTTCAGATCACTTTGTTGTTATTTTTTTATTACTATAAGAAGGGTTAATAATAAAAGTTTTTTTGGCAGTAGAACTGGTACTGATTTTAGTAAGTTTGCTATATTTTTTTATTTAACATTTTTATTAGATTTAATAGGTTTAATAGGTTTTTTTTAATTACTTTGGAGTAAAATATATTGAGTGATATTACTTCATTTTTTACACTTTTAGATTATGTATTGTTGTCTAGATTCTTTGTTAAATTACAATTTATTGATGTAAATAAATTTTTATTTTTATTTTTGATAGACAACTTTTATCGAAAAATAAAAATAAAAGTTTATTTACATCAATAAGAAGGCGTGAACTTCCTATTAAATGCTTATCCACGGTGCTCTGTGAGGACTTCTTGGAGCACCTAAAATAAAGTTAAACAAAAAGTTGTTGAAATATAAGAAATGCTGCTCGGCGAGCAGAAAACTTACTTGTCAGAATTCAGTGTCAAGCCGTGTTAATGTGTGTTTATTTGATTTTATTTTAAACACTTTAAAACAATTTAAATCAAATAGTTTTAAATTTAAATGATTTTAAATTTTTTTATAAATTCAAACGTAATTAAGTTCTTTTTTTTTTAGTTGCCTTTGTTATTACTTGATTAGTTTGCTTACTGTTGAAACATGGTTTTAATTTTGTAAATTTAATGATATGAAATTTACTCTATTAATCATTAGTTGACAGTTAAAGAGAAGCTGAAACTTTTCATAATAAAGGTAAAAATAATTTTGTTTACTCTTAGATAAGAGTTAAAAGAGAATTAGAAGTGCATGGAGCATCAATAAAACTTATATAATTACTTTTTAGTTAAAATAAAAGTAATTATATAAGTTTTATTAATGCCACAATTGATAATGACCATGTATATAAAAAATTTTATGAGCTGCTTGGTATTTTATGATAAAATTGTTCAATATTGTAATCAATAAAATCTTTTTAGCTCAAGTATTTTAGTTGATAAAATATCTTAATTTATGGTGCTATACGTTATTACGTTATTTACTACGTTAAGTTGTCTAGCCTTTATATAATCTTTTCTTTTTTAATCATTTTGGAGAGACAGTAATGTGTGCTTACAAATATCTTATGCTATGCGCTATTGTTAATGTGTTTTGTGTTGATAGAACTGGGCTATTACAGCAAGTCTTTATATCTTCATTCTACCAACAATAAAATGCAAATAAAACTTTGTAATTAAAAATTGTAATTATTTTTCGTTCCTTATTTTAGGCATTGGAGGCTTTACTTGACTTTCTTTTTATGGTACCTGCTGTGTTGTAACAGATTTTAAAAAGAACTTAACTGATGATAACGTAGTCTTTTTTGTTGTTAACTGTAAGCAATTATTTAATTACTAATAAAACCCGTATTACGGGTTGCTTACTGCTAGTATTGATTAATAACATAAGTTATTTTATTTTTAAATGAAAAGAACTTACTTTACTGTAAATAAATTGGACAATTTTATCAACAAATCATTTGACAAGATCTTTCTATTTATTTTTGTAATAATAAAATATATTTGTTTTTTCTTACTGTCTTTCTGAATATCTTTACTCAATATATATACATTTGCAAATACCCCCGAGAGTATAATAAACAGTATAAACGTTATGTACAATATAATATATACGACGCGCCCACAACATTCCTTCTGACGCAACACGTTAATAGTTTATAATACAATTATTTACACTAATTACAACAACCCTTGATCTCTAGATCACAAAGTCCGCATACTTATTCGGAAACTCCCGCACACGCGCCGATCTTCTGAGATTCAGGTTGTTCTCTCGTAGACAAGTCAGCTACAATGGGAGCTGGACGGACGTCCGACATGTGTCTCGGCAATCCATTGATTTCTACCGAAACCCCTCGTCCTTCATCTAAGACTCTTCCTCTATTCCATTCGCTAGTACATTTTGAATTAGGTGGTTTTACAAATACTTCTTGTCCTTGTGTGTAGTTGTGGAGAACTTCCTCGTTAGTTTTGGCAAAAATTGTGTGTGGTTTCCACTCAAAGGAAAATATAGCTTTGTAGGGAAGCGATGTTTCCTCGCCATTTTTTCTGGGAGCCACGTTATACCAATATACCATTTTTAACGGATCTTTGCCACTTCTTGCTGCCATGCGCTTGATTGTGCGATGGTGACGTTCAACAATTCAATTTCCAGATGGCCTGTAAGCGCAACGAAACAGGATGGACACTCCCCATTCTGCACATAATTCACCAACGAGTTTTGAGCAAAAGGTCTTGCTGTTGTCAAGAAGAACTTGCCACGGAGGTCCTCTTTCTCGAAATATTTCTTCTAGATGGAAACACACTGTTGCTTCTTTCTCGTTTTGTAGCTTCCTCCAAATTGCAAACTTGCTCCTTTTGCCACAGTCAATGATAGACAAATAAATCTTTGATTTATAGTGGGTAACGTCAATAGCTAAACGGTACCAGCTCTTTCCAACTTCAAAATTTCCTTTTTCCCATCTGATTGGAGCAGGATCTACAGATAAACATCTTTCGCAACTTTTTACGACTGATTCAATGTCTTTTCTACAAACTTTCTCCTTCGGATATGTCTGTTTCATCAAATAAAGGGTTTGATTTACTCCAAAGAAGATTACGAAACGACTTCACATCAGGCGGTACAAGATTTGCTGTCATTGCAGAATGG